TTAGCTTGTAGCTAGTTCGACCGGGTGTCGTCAGTTGATCCCAGCCTTACAGCCCCACCCTCAGCTCCACCTCTCTTCCCTTTTATGGAATTGTCTGGGCTTGACGGAACCTGTGACACGGTCAAAATGGCGGTGGTGGCCACCTCCCATTTTTCTTCAAAAACGTGTTATTGGAGTCTATGGAAACCCATTGTCCAATATTTCTATGCCGATGCGTGTGACGTATGCAGATGAAGATCGGCTTTAGAGCTGAGATGTTTGTTCTCATGGTGCGGGGGCTCATTCCGACGCCCACACAGTAAAAAATACAAATGGCGACTTGGCAGTGAACGTGTAAATGACTGGATTAAACTCATCCATCCATGGGCGGCAAGATTCGAGCGAGCAACAGCTTAGCAACACCAAATATTCACACACACACACGTACGCACGTGCGCGCGCGCGCACACACACACACACACACACACACACACACAAACGCTCTTCAGTCCATGCTGACGAGCACCACAGGGTCGTGTGTCCTTTTTCTAAGTAAAGGATTTAAGTACCTCTACCTGCTCTTGACTCAGAGAAAAGCCCAAGTCTAAATCGTCCAAAGTTGATGCCAAAGCCGTTTCAAACCGCCATCCTAGTTGTTCTGCTCTATCGCATCATCCTACCCACCAAACCGATAGAGCGCTGTGATTGGCAAAACACAATACTGTTCAGGCCAATGGTAGCCTGATCAGTGGACTCAGTGAACTCCTTCAAAAAGCAGCTGAAGACTCACTTGTTCAAGCTGGCTTTTGTATGACCTTCTTCATCACTCTCTCTTTATTCTGCTCTCCCCACCTTTTCCACCTTCCTCAGGATCCACTGATTTCCCTCTTTCCTATTCCCTCTCTCTTTCTTAAAATGTTTTCTTTAAAATCACAACTGCTTATTTTTGCTCATTTTAAATATATTTTTCAACATTTTCTAAATGTCTTTTTTATATTTTTAAATTTTTTTATTTTTTGTTTTTGTGAAGCGCCTCGTGATTTTTTATCTTGAGAGGCGCAATAGAAATGATATTTTCTTCTTCTTCTTCTTCTTCTAGGCCTGCTGAGGCTCCTATGGCTAGACCGACCTGCAGAGCAAAATCATTTTGCTTCAGCAACTGTCTGTCTAGATTTCTAGGCTAACAGTGTGTGGAAAAATCTAGACTCTTTAGTGCCATGGATTATACACTAGGTATTACATCAATGATATAGATAGATGTACTTTAGTAACGGACTCAAAGGTCCAGTACAGACAAACTCCGAAACAGAACCTAAAATAAATACCAGAATAAATGCCAGAATAAAAATACATACAAATATCAGACTGGAAATCCTTTCTGCCAACAGCCATTGTAATATACAACAACTCTTTGATGACTTGATTATTATTATTATTCTGAGCTACTACAGCAATCAATTTCCCTCTGGGATTAATAAAGTATTTTTGAATTGAATTGAACCGATAAAAGTAAAGCAGTTACTCAGTTATGTGCACCAGCTGTTTTTGAGTGAGGCTAATCAAGCTGGTCAGAGGGAGAGTATGTCCTTTGGCCTTTCCTTTAGTCCCCAACAAACCCATAATTACTCCAACAGTTTGTCTGTAATAAGGAATGGAAATGAACAATATGAGAGCTGAAAGGACCCAGCAGTCTAATCAGAGCCATTCAGCTACGTTAAAATTAAAGACACTAGCTACTCGTGGGGGAACGAATATCACACATGAGCTTCAATGTCAGAAGTGTGTGTTGAACACCCGTTTAATAAATACAGGTCCTTCTAAAAAAATTAGCATGTTGTGATAAAGTTAATTATTTTCTGTAATGTACTGAAAAACATTGGACTTTCATATATATTAGATTCATTACACACAACTGAAGTAGTTCAAGCCTTTTATTGTTTCTAATATTGGTGATTTTGGCATACAGCTCATGAAAACCCAAAATTCCTTTCTCAAATAATTAGCATATCATGAAAAGATTCTCTAAACGAGCTATTAACCTATTCATCTGAATCAACTGATTAACTCTATTTAGAGTTAATTAGTTGATAAACATTAAGTCTAATGTTTATCAGTACATTACAGAAAATAATGAACTTCATCACAATATGCAAAATTTTTGAGAAGGACCTGTACAAATGTAGCTGTTTCTAATTAGTTTACCCAAAAGATTCCTGAGGCTTTTAAAAACTCCCAGCCTGGTTCATTACTCAAAACCACAATCACGGGTAAGACTGCCGACCTTACTGCTGTCCAGAAGGCCATCACTGACACCCTCAAGCAAGAGGGTCACAGAAACAATTTTCTGAACAAATGGGCTGTTCCCAGAGTGCTGTATCAAGGCACCTCAGTGGGAAATCTGTGGGAAGGAAAAAGTGTGGCAGAAAATGCTGCACAACGAGAAGAGGTGACCGGACCCTGAGGAAGATTGTGGAGAAGGACCAATACCAGACCTTGGGGGACCTGCGGAAGCAGTGGACTGAGTCTGGAGTAGAAACATTCAGAGCCACCGTGTACAGGCGTGTGCAGGAAATGGGCTACAGGTGCCGCATTCCCCAGGTCAAGCCACTTTTGAACCAGAAACAGAGGCAGAAGTGCCTGACCTGGGCTACAGAGAAGCAGCACTGGACTGTTGCTCAGTGGTCCAAAGTACTTTTTTTGGATGAAAGCAAATTTTGCATGTCATTCGGAAATCAAGGTGCCAGAGTCTGGAGGAAGACTGGGCAGAGGGAAATGCCAAAATGCCTGAAGTCCAGTGTCAAGTACCCACAGTCAGTGATGGTCTGGGGTGCCATGTCAGCTGCTGGTGTTGGTCCACTGTGTTTTATCAAGGGCAGGGTCAATGCAGCTAGCTATCAGGAGATTTTGGAGCACTTCATGCTTCAGTCTGCTGAAAAGCTTTATGGAGATGAAGATTTCATTTTTCAGCACGACCTGGCACCTGCTCACAGTGCCAAAACCACTGGTAAATGGTTTACTGACCATGGTATTACTGTGCTCAGTTGGCCTGCCAACTCTCCTGACCTGAACCCCATAGAGAATCTGTGGGATATTGTGAAGAGAAAGTTGAGAGACGCAAGACCCAACACTCTGGATGAGCTTAAGGCTGCTATCGAAGCATCCTGGGCCTCCATAACGCCTCAGCAGTGCCACACACTGATTGCCTCCATGCCACGCCGCATAGAAGCAGTCATTTCTGCAAAAGGATCCCCGACCAAGTATTGAGTGCATAACTGAACATAATTATTTGAAGGTTGACTTTTTTTGTATTAAAAACACTTTTCTTTTATTGGTCAGATGAAATATGCTAATTTTTTGAGATAGGAATTTTGGGTATTCATGAGCTGTATGCCAAAATCATCACTATTAGAAACAATAAAAGGCTTGAACTGCTTCAGTTGTGTGTAATGAATCTAATATATATGAAAGTCTAATGTTTATCATTACATTACAGAAAATAATGAACTTTATCACAATATGCAAATTTTTTGAGAAGGACCTGTACATTTGTAGCGGTTACTAGCAGGAATTAATACCTTGTAAGTTGAATTCCGGGGTAAAAAAAAAAGTCCAGAAGCACCAGAATCAGCACAGAGGAGTCAGGTGGAGGAAAGCATGACAGAACATGATTTGTAGTCTTATTTCCTGATATTTGGACATCTCACCTCTGATTAGCTAACAGCAACGCAACTCTACCAATGAGTCCATTTGTTTTTCAACGTTGATGTTTTATCTCCACAAACATCAAAATCCTGGAGGAGTTCTGCCATGTGGTGGAGTTGCTAATGCTAAAAGTTAGCTTCTACTAGCTGAGACGTTCTGTGCTGTGCTTTTTCTGGATGATAAACCAACAACAGCCTTTTCTGTCATGATGGGTGAGTCCACGAATGCTAAGTGACAGTGTGACGTAGATCTGTCAGGATTTTCTAGACTTTCAGCGTCAATTTTCTATCAGAAGCTAATGCAGGAGATAGCTGTAGCAGACAATTTTCATGTTCAGTCTGCATGAAAAACTGACTGATTATATTCAGAAAAAGGTTTTAAGGTTTTAGGTTTAGGTTTTAAGTATTCCATACTTTAATACTTATGCTGAAGTTTAGATTCAGATAAATACAGTTTCGAAAAATCCTAGTTTTCATCCTTCCTTCCTTTTTTTGTTGTGTGTGATCACACATGTATATTGTGTATTTTTGCATGTATTTTATTCCCATTTTTTTGTTACTATTAATTTTTTATTTTATTCCCAAAAAGGAAATGCTGGACTTTGATTCTAAATGTAGCTAATGAAGTCACTTCTAATCTAGCCTAGTTATTTCTAAAGTTAAATACATATGTTACTTTAAATAGTAGTCATTATAGTGTATCAGTGTGTCAGTAATTAAATTACTTTTTTAAGGTAACTGTGGTAACACTGCCTGTGTGCGTGTATGTGTTTATCCTGTGTTTCCCTCATCTGTCACACTTGAAATGTATTTAGTTAATTAGTCCAGCTGTCTCAATAATCCACATCTTCACTGTTAAACCTATTTTAAATGAATATTTCTCATTTCTTGGTCTTGTTGTACAAACCTGCTCCTGGATTTTAAGGTAATTTAAGATATTTTCTCTGTTTACATTTTTAGTTTCAATTCAGTTATTTTCCTCCTTGCATTTAAGTAATTTACCACTTCGTCCTGAAATAATGACATTTTTGTAAGTTAAATGGGCGTAACATTTAAATAAAACAAGTATTTTATGCATGAGATGTTATTTAAGAGAAATAAATAAAGCAAACATAAGTTATATTGTGTTTTTTCCAGAGTAGATCTACTTTGGATTACTACAAAATGAAGATTTTCTGAGAATTTATTAAAATCCTTCCAGTACGGTTCTCTGTTGCTAGCAGAAACACTCACACACACATGGAAAGACACAAGTAAAAACACCACCTTTCTGCAGACAACAAGCTCACAGCAGAGGAGACCCTCCCCATGTGGCCCTACCTCTGTCCCGCGGCACTGCCGAAAGCGTCCGACCTCCACGTACCCACAGCTGGACTGACCCAGGTGTGGATGATGCATTCTGGATCCATCGTGCACGACACTTGTAGCTGCAAAGTGCAGCAAGTCCAAAGTCTTTAAATCTGGTTGATCAACGAGCTTCTTCAACATGCAGCTCAGACAAACATCTTCCTGTCGTTCTTTGAGTAACAGATCAGAACATGGAAAATAAACCTGCGCTGGCTTGACGATTCATTTATTCGTGAAGAATGTGAATATTTTTAGAGGTGTATACAATCTTTTTCTTCTCCCTCTCTTTCCTGTGTGCGGGCCTGTTGCCACAGCAACGAAAGGAATAATCCACACTGATGTTGCTGTGCTGGGGACCTCTCCATGCAGCACCATGGAAAGAGGTAGACATCAGCTGAGATGTTCTGGAGGTTTGACAGAAACGCTGATTTCTGTTTTTGACGACCCTGAAATCCTGTTCATTGTGTTAATAAATTACGCTGTTCATTTTCCTGCTCTGGTGATGTGAACGATTTAATAAAAACCAAAAGGAAAAGCCTAAAAGCTGCCGTCTGAACCTCTGGATGTTTTTCCTTCTCCGAACGTGAAGTCTGAAGCACTAATTTATAGATGACCTCTTTCATGAGTCAGTGCTTTTGAAACTACAGGAAGAGGCCACTCCACTTGAACCAGCTTCTGCCCACGCGGGTCCATCCACTCAGCGTGGCTTTTTGAGTTCCACGTGAACCCTTTACATCACAATGAGACTTCTGCCTGTGAATTATGTGACATTTGTCATCTCTATATTTAGCTCATAAAGGCTTCCCCACTTCAAAGTCAGGAAATGAAAGCTCTTAAAATGAGGGAAAATGTGAAAACTCAAACTGCAGATAGAAGGCGGTAATGCACAACGCTAACTATGGTTGATATTTAGCTGCTCCTTTGTGTCTATTTGAGTGTGTTTCTGCAGCCTTGAAAGAAGGGAACATTTGAATTCACTGAGAGCTTCTGTAAGGTTTGGGTGAAGACCACTGTGGATCCAACCTGAAGCTTCTGGACTAAATGGCAGAACAGAAAACATTGCTAAATATTTAAATAAGGATTGTTGTGCTGAATAAAAGGTCATCTTGGACTGAAAGGTAATTTTGAACAGCACAGCTATTTGAAGGTAACAGAAAATATATAGAAGACCTGAAAAGCAAGAAAAGTGAAATAAAATAATGTGTCAGATCTTTTTTTTCTCTTGATTCAATAATTTATGATTTTAAAACAATGTTTTTGAAAGGAAAGAAAAGTTTTCTAGAGAGATTTTTGTGAAAAAGTCAAATTAAATATAGTTTCATGATTTTGCTGTTTAGTCTCAAACGCAACAAACGAATATTGTTAGACAGACTTAAGAAATGCATTTAATTGTTATTACATTCTGGAGCTTAAAAAAATAATTTAAAGAGACAAAGTGTAGTTTTTACCATCAATCTAGAAATATTCATCAAAACATTGCTGAAAATGAATAAAATTATGTCCAGTTATTTAAAAATATTGGCGGCTTTGTAAAATATAGGCATAAAAATCAAGTCTAAAGTGCATAGAGTGCGGGTCTAGCGTGTTTGGGAGATGCCATATTAGACGCCATGGGTGTTTCTCAATGTCAAGGCGCCTGGCCTTGCGAGGCAATGTCTTGCAAGGCCAGGCGCCTTACTTATGAGGACATTGTCCTTCCTTGGTCAAAGAAAACGGCTAAATGTAACAGACTTGCATCACATGACCACAGCTTCCACGGTGGTCACGTAACGTCATGTTAATTGTTAATTTATTTTCTCACTCAGCAGTTTCATTCATCATTCATGCAAAATACAATCATCAACAGTCTCCTAAGTGAAAAAAGGGGGAGGAAGAAGAAGTCTTGTATGACCTACCCCTTTCTACTTCATACTATATAATGTACAGAATGGCTTTACACACAAACCAAGTATAGAACTTCCTTATCTTTGTAAACAAAATCACAATAAAACGTATCAATATACTCATTCAATATTTACTTATCAATCATAAGATTCTATGATTTTTTTCTTTATATAGTCTCTTAAATTGATCGGTAGTTAAACATTTTTTCAGGTCATGATCCAGATTATTCCATAATTTTATTCCATTTACTGAAATACACATTTGCTTTAATGTTGTTTGTGCAAAAAATCTTTTAAACTCATGCTTCTTTCTATTCTTTCCATCATTTGAAATCAAAACAAAAAACTTCTGTAACTTCACTGGCAGTAACCTCTTTTTTGCCCTGAACATAATTAGTAAAGTTTTCAAATTAACCAGATCCTTGAATTTCATAATTTTTGATTCAATAAAAAGTCTATTGGTATGTTCTCTAGCATCTACGTTATATCTAATTCTCATAGCTTTCTTCTGTCATAAAAACAAAGGATTAGTGTTTGTTTAATATGTGTTGCCCCAAACCTCTATACAATAAGTCAAGTATGGAACAATAAATGGATAATATAATAAATGAAGTGTTGATGACTCCAAAATACTTTTACTTTATTTAAAAGTCCAATACTTTTACACAGTTTTTGTTTTATATATTTTATATGGGGTTTCCAATTAAGTTTATGATCCAAGATGACCCCTAAAATCTTACTTCATTTACTCTTTCAACTGAAGTACCATCCATGGACAAAGTAGCAGAATCATCTGTCTTCCTGTTACCAAAAATCATGAATTTTGTTTTAAATGTGACACGGGAGACAATGTTATATTTTATACGTATTAGTTTCAGTATAATTATATAACAAGTCTTTTACTTTTTAAATTGTGTATATGTTTATTAAATAAAAAATATAAGTGAGTTAGTACCCGCTAGCCAACGAAGCTGCAACTACTAAGCAACTAACCAACAATAGATAACTTCTTTGGATCTAAAAAAACATTTTAAATTAGTTGACTTGAAATTTGTCCCTGAAGTAGCTGTCGGCTTCTGATCCGCCATCCTTTTTAAAGTACCGCAGTGTATTCTGGGTAATTTTTGACCAAGGCTAGGTTACAAGACACCTCCCATGTGTCCTTGCTCAGCTAGCTAAGCAGCTAACAAACGGAGGACACACGCCTCGGTAGAACATGAACATTGGAAGCGATTGGAACACGTCTTGGCGGCTTCTAATGACGTATCTCCTAGGCAACCGGGGCAGGGCCAAGACATCAAGGCATCAAGGCAAGGTTCCTTGACATTGAGAAACACTCCATGATTCCTTCTGGCCAGCTCGGGGTCCTGTGCCTTTCAATGATGTCACACTAGATGATTGGCTAGTTGTACAACTTATGGAAGTTCCATGACCATGTTCAAAAACATTTAGGCAGTAAGAAGCCAGAATTTATAAACAAAACTGCTAAACTCTTTGCACAACATAAGTGGAAGAACAGAATTGATGTAATATGTTTTGGCCGAGTGATATTGCTGTAGTGTGATGATGTCATCAGCAGGCTCGGGACCCCAAGATGATCCAGAAACTACAACGCCAGAAAACTAGCATTGGCATTTCATTCTTTCGAAGGAATTAACTTAAGGACCATGGAAGTCTGAGGAGTTACGCTACGGTTCATGCTTTCTGCTCCACAGGTAACATTCACTGCAATGTTTCTTTTTAACTAGCAACAGTCACGGTGATGTGGTGTAAAACTACCCTGAAATGTATGTACTGCCCTTAGTGGCAGGAAACTACACACTTTCGTTTTAATAATTATGTTTAAAAGAAACTGGAACTTTTCTTTTACCTTTGTCAGACTTTAAAAATTGAACAACCTTACTTATATGTTATATAATTTTAACGTTTTGCTTGCAAGTTGCAAGAACATGCAAAGTAACTTCTCCAGGAACAACTTATAACTGTGGCAATGTTTGCTCTCCCAGAATAAAATAAATAAAGTAAGTATAAAAATGCAGCATAAGCCAGATAATGCATTTTTTCCCATTTCAGCACCATGGACAGTACCACAAACAACAAAGAAAATCTTGGAGCTTCTATGTTTATTTAAATAAACTTAAATGGAAAACTATCCAAACAAGAGACGAAAAAAAAACTTTAAATGCACTTTTGTTTTCTCAGACTGCAGGAGGTAGAAAAGGTGAAAACCTCCAAGCACAATCATGTTCCTGTTCCTGTTGCTGTATAATTACTGAAAATAGTGGCCCCTGAGTGGATCGGGGGTGTATGTCAATTAAAGGCTTTTGTTAGCTGCATAAAAAAGAGGTTTAGCAATCAGTAAAAGTAAAAAAAAGCCATATGTGTTGACTAGAGCAAGTGACAAACATATGCAGCTAATGCATGCAAATGACACTGAAAATGAACAACAGGGTGACTATGATGGATAATTATAGCAGTTGGACTTGGGTTTAAAGGTAAAGATCCTGTTTGAAACAAGCAGACGATCTGCAGCTTAATATCAATGCACCTGCTCAGTTTTAGCCTTTTTTCTTCTTTTTTGTTATCTGTTTCTTTGAATGATGTCTCAAAAATGCTAACCATGTTGCAATCAGCGGTGGGTGAAATACGAGTATTTATTTTACCTCAAAAGAAATTATTTACAAAATCAACTTTTTGGCAACAACAAACCTTTGTGTAAAATAATTTTTTAGAAGGTTTATCAAAGCAGCTGTTGATTAAATTTGTTGCTGAAACATTTTGAACATGGACAGCAGTTACTGAAAAAGTTCTGCAGCTTCTCTCCTCTTACACAGAGCTGGTATCTCCTTCACAACTTTACAAATGTTTTAACTTCTAAAGGAACCTCTCGGACCTTGGCCACACCTCTCACCCTACAGCTTCTCTTCATCACAACTCATACCTGTCTTCATTCTGGAAGCTCTGGTCCCCGAGCAGCAGGTCTCTGAAGCGGAAGCGGGGCGGCAGCGGAGGCACCTCGCTCTCCATCTGCTCCATCTTCAGAGAGGAGATGTCTAAGATAACTCCACTGCTGCAGCTGCTATTAGACTGAAGTGGTGCTGGAGAAGGGCTGGAGGAGGGACAAGACAGCAAAGCAGCAGAAAGGAAAAGAAGGATAAAAACAAAGTGCTGTAAAAACATGAAGGGATGCACAGGAAACAGGAAGGAAAGAAAAAGAAGAAACATGGGAAAAGGTGGACTTTTACAGAAATACACACAAGCAAACCTTCATTTTGATCACCAAGCATACAGATCACTTCCTTTTCCTGGGACTAATACAGCCTCTAAAACCTCCGCATGCGACTATTTAAGTAAAAGAGCTGAAATCTGAATGTATTTCAGTGGGAAAAAACTATTTAAGGAGCAAATTACTTGATTAAACTTGCTATTTTAATGAGAAAATGACGTTTTCTAGACTAATACATTAGCTGTTGTTAGGAGAACCAATTAATTCAATACTTCAGAGTAGCGGTCGACCGACATTGGTTTTACTATTGCCGATACCAATGCCAATGGTCAGCTGACGGCCAATATGTACTGCCGATTTTCATGGTCAATATCTAGATGTTTTCCACATCATTTTCATGCAAAAATGTCACAAACAACATCAGTTGATGCACAAAATGTCTGAAGCTAACTAGTTTCACTCAGAATTGCACCAACTATTACATCTTAACTTTGTGCACCGCTCAGTGTTAAAGCCAGACACCTAAATAAAGTTAATTATTTATATTTTTATCACGCAGATGTTATTAGTGAACATAAATATATTTAAATTAAATTCTGCAACAGCACCAAGCTGTCCGAGGATGTGCCTGACTTCAAATCGGCTTTACTAGCCGATGCCGATGCATAAAAATACCGGTAAACATCGGTTCGATATATCAGCCTACCGATATATAATCTTCAGAGTCATTATTCAATCCAAAATTGAATTGAAAAACTTCAGTGCTTCCAGTTTATCTCGATTTTAATTTATTTAGTCATGGATGCTGCTATTCTGTTGTTTCTGAATTAATGCAGATGTTGAACCTGGATTACATTTAAAGCTGTGAGATGTTATAGTTGATCCTGCAAACAATGGTTAAAGTAAAGAATTGATGTATCCCCATGCAGTTTTCTGATAAATCAATGCGCTACTTTCAACGCTTATTAGATTTTTGGATGTAAAAAGATTTTTTTTTATGGATCTTCTTCTAGATGACCATACAGAGTGAAGTTCTGATGGTTTGGTGTGAAGACATCAAGAAGGTGCTGGTTTTGGTCTCCTAGAGACGATACCCGGGCATCATTAACAGACAGGGAAGTTAAAGACGGAACCTCCTTTCTGTCTGTTTGCTATAATCCAGCATTAGGATCCATCTGGATTTATGAAATTCTGTCAACTGAACAAGCCAAAAGTCAAGCACACGTTTAGGAATCTAAGTGATGACGGAGGCTGCAGATCTTGAGCTCATGTGGATGTTTTGATGTAATCATTTAAAACTGAACAGTGAGGCCATGAGAAGAGATCGGGATGAGAAATTGACCAAATGGCACAATAAAAACAACCTTATTCGACATATTTGATCATTTCCTAATAAAAGAACATATCTCCTTTTATAAGAACTTTTTGAAACATAAATTCATTAATAAATAAAGTTTCGTGTCGGTGTTTCTCACCGTGGTTTGTGCTCGCTCACGGTCCCGTCATCGTTCACAAATGACTGATTCACGTAGCATTCGCTGCACATTGTGGCCGGAGATCCGGCGCTTCCGGCGGGCTGGAGAGCTGCGGTGGTCGGCGTGGAGTCCTGCACAAAGTCGTCTTCCTGCCTTATTTGCATCTGAGGTCGATCAACCAGACAGGAGTGGACTCCCGCAGAGAAAGACGCGCTCTTGTTAAAAAAAAATTAAATAAAAATTAAAGTTAGCCCTCCTTTTGCTGTATGTCACCTATACTGGTGCATTGATCGGGTGGGAGTTTTGTTGAGGAAATTATGAAAACTTAGTCCCAATTATCTCGTGAGCTGTTAAAAATGGTTAAATAAAAGATGAAGGCAGGAATGTGTTGCTGGATGCAGGAAATGAAGCTGGCAGCGCCTGAAGTGTGAATGTTGTGGATGATGGAGAGGACAGGTCTCTCCTGCTTCAACTGTTCTCAGACATACCTGGTGATAGAGAGATTACTGCCACCTGGTGGAGACTGGGGGCATTGCATCTGAAATGTAAACCATGACATCCAAAAGAAACAGAATAGACTTTATTGATCCCACAGTGGGGAAATGCACTTGTTACTTCAGCACATACACTTAGAGAATAATTCAAAGAAAAATAATAAAAGTACATGTACGTACACATAGACAGTACGCTATTATTGTAACATGTGACCTGAGTTTAAAATTTATGGGGTTTAACGGTGCAATATGTAATTATATTACTGTGAAATAATTACAAAACAGGCTAATGTCTCAATCATGTTGGAAGGAAGGTTACACTGAAACAGACTTCATCCTCAGGCGGCTGGGGGGGGTCAGTTTTTCTCCTTTCAAAGAAGATTAATTAAAAGCTGGAAGTAGTTACTATTTACAGTCTGTGAGTTTGGGAAGGTGCTGAATCTGCAGCGAGGTAACGCAGCAGGCATTTGTAATTCAATACCAGTGTTATGTCGATCAGAGTTCCCCCCTCGAGACCTGTTTCTGCTCCAACCAGATGTGAGACGGAACCATCCACTCACAAAAAATAACCCTAACCCTTACCCTAACCATAACCACCCACACACCAAAAATGTATGTATAGCATAATTATAATGTGTGAAATAACTCAGTCTAGCATGATTTTTTTGTTTGTTTTAGAGTTGGTTAGGGTTAGGGTAAGGCTTAGGACACACATTGTTTGTGAGTGGACGGTTCCAACTTGCTGATTGGTGGAGCCGAAACAGATCTCGAGGAGGGAACTCAAATCGATGTAACACCAAAGCCAGTAAACAGGAGTGCCCCATAAGTTATTTCTTGTACCCCTACGAAGAATGATTTTTTTAATTTAGCGCCTCTCTAAGAAAAAAAAAAGATGAGACAAGAGGAACAATCTGTACATGTAAGTAAAGGCAATTTAAAGAGCTAAAATAAGAAAATACAGGTAGAAGCAGGTTCTGCCTCCTTTGCTCCTTTTTAGCTGAGTCATGCAGTACAAACAAATAATAAAACTCTACAACACAAAACTTGACTCTTGGTAGTCACTCATGAATAATTTTGTGTTATTTTGCTTCATCTAGTTCCCGTTATTCCCCAAAAAGCTACCAGTCATATGGAGTTTTAAAACGTCATACTTAACAGCTGAAATAAATCACATTAAATATACAAAAACATTCAGACATCACTGCACAGATACACCTAAAGGATGATGATGGGTTGACTCATCATTCAAGCAAAATTCAACATTTTCTTCCACTTTATTCCTCTTGTAAATTAATCTCACCCCAGCCAACATTTCATGAATGTAGGAGTAAAGAATGTCTGAATACAGGTGAAAGGTCACAAGGTCAGCAGCGTTAATGCTCTAATCCAGCGTGAACCGTTGGACTTTCTATAATAACGTGTAATGAAAAGCAGACACCCTCTCTAAATCTATTTTTAAATAACTAAGGCTGCGAGAAGTCTAGCTGAAAGGTTTTCCGTCCCTAAGGCCACTGATGTAAAGGAGAAGCAGCAATCATACATCAATCTGACTGGATGTTTTCCTCTCTCCAGTGACGCATCTGGAGGAGACGGGGGTGAGGTGGTACATGATTCACAGAGGAGTCGGTGACGTGAGGTTGTTCAAGACTTCCAAGTTCATGATGGACATTTGGGAATGAGTCAGTGCTGTGGGGGTAGAAGAAAAACTACATCTGTGATGTTCCACCTGGAGTCTAGATGTGTAAAAGATTAATGTTGGTTACAAATACATTAGACAGTTCCACATTAATGTTGGAAGGTAGAGTTCAGTAAAATGTCATCATTAGGATCAGGACGTTAGAACCGGCTCATAAATCAATCAGTATTTCCAAACAATAATTAAAAATCCACAAGTGTGATCAGTAGGGATGTAAGAAAATATTGATGACAATATATTGTGATTATTTCTCCTGCAATATTATATCATATTCAAAAGCTGTGTATCAAATATTTGGAAGATTTTACATGCAAACATTTGTGTATTTTCTTTTCTTCACATATTTATTTTAACTTGTAATAATTATTAGTTTTAACCAGTTTTAATACTTTGTTGTACAATATTTTATAAATTGAATTATATGCTTCTACTTGGTTATCTTTTATCACTGTGTTTTATTTAGATTTTTATTTATCAGCTGTTAATGTTTAATTTGTTTCTTAACTTGTTATCTTAGTCTCATTAGTAAACTAGTGTTTCCTCTGTGGGGGCTGGCTGACCCGGGGGCAGCGGTGGGCTGTGGCGGCCGGGGTGCTTCCCATGTCTACTCTTGCCAAGGCTATTGCTGCCAATCTTGGTGCTCCCGGTGCAGTTGGCTCCTTTGATGGCGTTTTCGTCTTCTTTGTACCTACTACATCTGCACTCAGCCAGCTGCCCTTTCTCTATTACGTGTGTGCGTGCGCGCGTGTGTGTGTGTGTGTGTGTGTGTGTGTGTGTGCGTGTGTGTGCGTGTGCGGGAGTTTGCATCTGCTTGGGACAGGATCCAGGGTGGGAGGAGGGAGATAGCAGTAGCTCAGGTGGTAGAGTGGATTGCCTCATGATCGGAGGGTCATAGGTTCGATTCCAGCTCCCGCCAGGGGTATCCTGCCGTTGTGTCCTTGGGCAAGACACTTCACCCAACTTGCCTGTGTCAGAGGGGCCGACGGCACCAAATGGCAGCCTCGCCTCTGTCAGACCTCCCCAGGGCGGCTGTGGCTACAAGTAGCTTACCATCACTAGCAGTGTGTGAATGTGAGAGTGTGTGAAAAAGCGTCTTTGGGTGTCTAGAAAAGCGCTATATAAGTTCAATACATTATTATTATTATAGATACAAAGGAGTTCTCTTATGTGAATCTGTGTGGGAGGGGTGGGAAACCGACTGCTGGCTGGTTGTTTTTAATATTGTAAAGCACTCTGAGCTGCATTTGCATGAAAAGCGCTTCATAAATAAATTCTGATTTGATTTGATTAGATTTTGGTGCATTTCAAAGCCGACCACTAGGTGGCAGCAGTGTGCAATGGGTTTTGTTTCCACCATTGAAATGTAAATCCCTTTATTATTATGGTTCAGAAACCTCATGTTAAATATGTTAAGTATCAGTTTGGACTATTTATTGAATTTTCCTACAATAAATTCAGTCTAAAAAATTGTTAATATTGTCTGGCTGAATGCATGGCAATATATCGTGACATATTGTATCGTCTCCCTGTATCGTGATACGTATCGTATCGCCACAATTTCACCAATACACATCCCTAGTGATCAGTGATGTGATCGCAGCTAACACATCTGTCATGCTCAGGAAAATTCCATGTGAAGTAGTTCACATAAGCTTTGTTTCTAAATTCAGATAAGCCTGACCTTTGACCTCTGACAACAATATCTCCATCTGGTGTCTGCAGCCACTGTTCACCTGTTTATTTGAAAATGTGTATTAAATGTATATAAAACCGATGAGACACATTTTTATTTTGCGGAGTTACTGGTCCAACACCCTTCTTTAATGAGGACCAGCTAGAGCCCCTCAGAATCAGCTAGGGGTCTATAAATCCACCCCCCAACCCCTTTTGTCTCATGTGAACAAATCTCATGCCTTTTTTGCATTAAGGAGCTACATTTACGACTACATTTGTTCATTTATTTTCCATACATCTGCAGTGGTCTCTAGTGTAAAACAATGCCTTGTGAGTCAATCTCTGTGGAAAAAAAAAGCTCTGGCGCCGCTCTTGTTGGAAATTAGCCGGAGCAGCAGGTTTTGGAGTTTTTATTGCTAGATTTGGACATCTCCCTTCTTAGTGGCCAACACAGAGACTTGACAACTGAATTTGTTTTTGCAACACGGATGTTTTGTCTCCACAAATAACACAAGCTTGAAGTTCTGCCGTGTTGTGGAGTTGCTAAGGCTAACAGTTAGCTTGTAGTAGCCAAGACATTTTCTGCAATTTCCTGGATGCTAAACCAACAACAGCCTTCCACGTCATGTGCCAAGATGGGAGAGTTCATGAACCCTTTGCTCTGATTACGGCTTTGCACACTCTTAGCATTCGCTCGATGAGCTTCAAGAGGCAGTCCTTCAAGACTGTTGGAAACCCATTTCAGGTGACTATCACTTGAAGCATTATCAAGTGTGTCAAGCAGTAATCAGAGCAAAGGGTGACTTTAAAAAAAATAGAATATAAAACATGTTTTCAGTTATTTCACCTTTTTTGCTTAAGTATATAACTCCTCATGTGTTCATAGTTTTGATGCCATCAGTGAGAATCTCCCAAAGTAAATGGTCATGAAAATAAAAACAACACATTGAATGAGAAGGTGTGTCCAAACTCTCGGCCTGTACTGTAGATCTGTCTGGGTTTTCTAAACTGAGAATTTCCCCGTCTACTTTATATCAGCACTGAGAAAACGGGTTTCTCAGTGAACTTGGTCTTTCAATATTCCCGTGCATGAACAGCATTATAAATGTTTGTTGTAGAAATAATTTTTGTTCATCTTTTGATCTAAGAAATTTTTAATAAAAATCTGGCTAATTTAACCTCATTTCCAGGCCACTCCTTGCCTCTAATCACGTTATGCTCTTTAAGAATGTTGACGACCCAAAGACTCAATTCCACCTCCTGGAGATGGACAGTTAATCCTCTGCGTCTTTATTGCAAAGTAAAAATAAATAAATAAAAATATAAAAACCTGTAGATTAAAGCTTCACTACAGCAGTGGAAATAAAAGAACACTCCAGGTAAGGCTCCAGGTAAGTAGATTTTCAGTTTTTTTTTAGTAAAACTATGTGACAATTTGTGATTGCCCTTCTGCAACAAGAAAAATACAATCCATGAAATAGAATTTTCTGTATTTATTACAAAAAATGACCTTTTAATGAAAAAAGTTATAACTGACACAATATACAGCTTCACTCATTCATGTCTAGAAGGCAGTCAGATGAATTTTTGGATGAAAAACCAGTTACATCTGAGGATTTTATTAAAATAAAGTCATTGGTAAACACACAAACTAAACACATTTTTTGTCCCACATCTGATGCAGCTTTTGTTGGACCATGTGTAAAACGTGGTTTGAAAATCGTTTCTTGCATGCAAATATTTTAGGGCAACATTCAAAATTATGTGAAATAAATTTCTTGTAATTAAAGATTGAGAAAACTGAAATAAATTTGAAAAAAATAAAAATACATTGAACTTTTGTGACTGAAATTCTGGATCAGAAATCTGAGCCTAGATTTCATCAGAACCTTTAAATTCAGTGAAAAAGAAAATATGACATCAACCTATTTAGACTCCTGCAACAGGAGCTCTATCTTGTCAGGTTTTTAATCTGATGTTTCTCCACATTTACTAATGAAACATAATAGTTTGGCATAAAAGTGTAAAAATAAGCGAGACCAAGTTTAGTTGGCTGAAAATGCAACAAGAGCAAGTTTTAAGATGAATTATGCCACGGTGTGGTTATGTTTTGATTTATGGGAAATCCAAGTATTTTGCCAGTTTATTTTTAAGGAAATGCAATTATTAGAATATCCCAGTTTCCAAATTTGTTCCGTTTATTTCACAGTTAGTACTTATTGTAAAAAAATAAAATGTGCATCACATAAGCTATTTAAGCCCATCGCTTAAGCAGAAAATACCAGTTTTCCACGTTTCTTCTTGTATCTGAATCACTCTGCTCCTTCTGTGCCAACTGAAGCTACGGCCGTTACATAGTAAGGTCCTTCTTTGAGGTACATCTTCAGACGGATGTAGTTCTGACTGCCCAGTATTTCTGCAGATGTAGACGAACTCACAAGAGACCCCACCAGTTCGAACTTGGCATCCTTGGCCTCCTTTGTCTGACCAGTTGAGCGATCCAGAATGAACTCCATGAATCCGGGGTTGTTGATCATCATCCTCTGACCCCAAGGCTGACTGGCAATGGCCTAAAAAAACACACACACTAAATCATCACTGCTGTGGTATACAAAGCATTTTTTGTGCAGTCTTTCAGGTGAAAAAGTAATAAGTAGGGAAACCAACACTTACAGTAAAGATCCGTAAAGCCGCACAGTGCAGCTCCGGAAAAGGCTGAGTGCTGATGTCACGGATCATGTCCATTGGCTTGTTGGATAAAAGGTGAAACCAGGACTCTGTCAGGGACAAAAGGTCTTCTGTTTGCTGCTCTGGCTGCAAGAAGATAAGAGACCGCTCAGACTCCTGTTGGTAAACTCGAGCTAAATCTTTCACGACGAAACGTTATCCATACCTGTAGGGTAAGGAGCTGCGATATGGCGTCCAAGCTGCGAACTCTAAGCTCATTCGCTCCAGAACTGGCAAGCTGGCTCATTCTCAAAATCACAGCTTTGAAGTTTTCTCCTGATTTTATAAAAACATTTTGATTAGAAATGAGTGGATAGATTTTGTAAACCTTATAAGGATGGCCAAGAGAGGAAAAAAGAGCAGTTTGAAGAACAAAATAAACTGAAACATTGAAAAAGTTAGGAATTCTGCAAAAATATAAAACTATTGGGCCGATAACGATATCAATATTGCTGTTATTGCCAATAGCTGATATTTACAAATATTATTATTATTATTATTATTAGGGATGCCCCGATCCGATCACATGATCGGAAATAGCCCTGATCACGTGGTTTCAGACTGATCGGGACTCGGGCTTTACTTCCCGATCCACGCCCCGATCCGGACTTGGATACTGGGTTCAGATTACAGGAGAGCAACTTGGTTCTCCTTAAAGGTTGTCAGGCCCCCCGATGCCCTTAACTTACACACCCAGAAGGAGCACAAAAGAGATCCAGTTTCTACCCATATTATATTATTTACATGGACTCAGAGTAGCGGGGATTCTTTTGAGCAGAGATGCAGAGAGCTGCAGGCAGACCGCTGATTATTCATGAACTCCAGCTGCGTTCTGCACACGGCCACAGTAACATTTTCTAAGTTTCTAAGTGGTGTCACCAAAAATATATACAATTAACACACAGTCATTCGTGTCCGTTCATTTTCTCTCTGGTAAGTTCTGTCTGTATTTGAGCTTGACGTGTGGACGCGCTCACGCTGCCCCGGCTGCAGCGCTCGTCACTGGCGCAGCCGGGCAGCGCAGCGCACACTCCGCTTTTTTTGCGGTCAATAGATCAATTTGATCTGCTAGTTAAAAAGTTACTTGTGAGGTGAAAAGAAGGAAGCAGGCAGGAGTTTTTCTGGAGGACTGGGAGATGCAGGAAGATCAGAGACAGACAGGACAGGATGATAAGAAAATAAAACCCAAGAAAACAAAACAAAGTTCTTAAAAAAATAAAATTTAGGTAGATTTATCCCACTACACATTTGTACCTGTATAAAGCAATAATTTATCAGCATGTAGTATTTATATAGCTGATACAATTCAGATCATCTTCAAAACTCCGTCCCACGCCCAGGGGCGTATCTAAGCATTTTGGGGGCCGAGGCTAAATAGACCCCTGCCAGGTATTTTAAGTTGAAGTGTTATCTGTTTTTATATTAGACTTTTTATATTTGCAATAAAGTCCAAAAGTGAAGAATTTATGTTATTTATTGATTGTTAAAGCTACCTCACAGAAGTGATCTGTTGTTAAAAATTAAAATAAAAAGGTAATGAAATAAAAAATAAGGAACATTCTGGAACTGTTTCTTCCATTTCTTTAATGTATCGAAAGTATCGGATCGGGACTCGGTATCGGCAGATTCTCAAAATCAAATAACTCGGACTCGAGGGCAAAAAACCCTGATCGGGACATCCCTAATTATTATTATTATACATACATATATCTATATAATTTTAATTGCATTTTATTATCGAACCGATATGATGTTAAAAACATGACAAACATCGGCCGATGATACAGTGTGCATCCCTATTATTACCCTTTTAAATTCAGATGTATGAAAAAGAATGCTTTATTTTATTTGTTTAATCAGTTTATTGGACGATAATGCAATAATAAATGTATACATCATATTTTATCATGTAATCCTATATTTTCTAGATCACACATGTCAAAAGTGCAGCCACAGGCCCGGTGGAGTGATTTCGTGTGGCCCCCACTTGCATTTCTACAATACTGAATTTTGTCTCTTCTGTAGGCTGTTGATGTAAATCAACACTTAGTAATATTTTTACATTCAGGGTTTTGCTACAATGTCTATTGTGGACTAATGTTTAGGTGTACACACACAAAAAAAAATTTATATATATATATATATATATATATATATATATATATATATATACACACATACATATACACATACACACTATACATTTTTTCTTTTTTTTTTTTAAATCCAATATTTGTGTCCCGTGAGGACTACTGACTTGATAATGCCGTCACTCATTTTACAATGTTTGATCAGATTCTCCGCCAGAGTGCAGAGAAAAAGCATTAGAACCTATATAGCAGGTACTAATTGTATTAAAGACGTAGAAGTTTTAGAGGCTAAAAAAATCTGTGTATCAAACAAGATACAAATGGTATAGAAGTCTAAAGGCACACTTCATAGTTTTGTTTGCTTTTACCACCCCCTACTGTCCGTTATTAATTCTCTGGTCAAACCGAAAGCAAAACTTATCTCATCTCTGTGCGTTCATCTTTTTAACACCTTAATCCAACAGCTGAAATGTCTCCCAGCCTTCATTAGTGTCCACAGGAGTGACTCGTCACTGAATTAAACAAACCAGCTGTGTTCATGATCTAAAACATGCAGGAAATGTGCTGAAAGCAGACTGCAGCACCAGGTATGTCAGCTCTATTTTTCTTAAGTCCCAACAGAGCACCTTGCCAGTCTGAAGCTGCAGATCCAGTATTCTGGCCACAGGGCGGGGTCTGAGTGACATTTCATTAACCTTGTAAAGGATTACTTTAGCACATACTGGGTCAAGAAAATGATTTTAAAACATGATAAAGCAGCAAAGTATGGCTTTAATAATTAGAGTTCTTAAGTTTTAATAAGTTTAAAAGATCACAGAAATTTAAATATACAACTAATTTCCCTTTCAAAATAAACTATACGTAAACCAATCTTTTTATATATATATTTCATTTTTCATTTATTGACATTAAAATAAAATTACAGAAAAAAATTGCTACAAGCCAAAATGAAAAAGGGGACAGAAAGAAGAAAAACTTATGTTATCTGTCCCTTTTAACTAAAATAACATTAATACAAATGAAACAATCATGATTCTTAAAAAAAATAATAATAATAAATTCACAAATGCCTCTAACCCACCTGTTTTCTGTAGAACCTGCTTCCCCTCAACTGTAGACCCAAGCAAGCCCAAAGTGTCGAGGCCCACGCCGATCATGGCAGGGTCCGGATCAAGGGCCATCTCCAACGCCTTGTTCAGGAAGGCTGGGTAGGTCTCACACACCTGCTGTGGGCTGTCCATAATGGCCAGGTTCCCAAAGAACTTCACCAAACCTAAAACCAGTCCAACTTCCATGGTAAGAACCTTCTGTGTTCCTCCTTAATTAATACTGACCATTTAGACAAAGCTGTGACTTCTTCTCCCCTTTTAACCAACTTTAATGTATTGGATCAGTTAAATCACATTTAATAACTACAAATTAATTACAAGTGTTTCTAGCTTATGCTAAGTTTGAAACGGATATAAATTGTTACCTGGAAGGTAGAGTGAAGAAAATGAGTCAATTTCTGCTCCTCTGATCATGTTGGAGATCTTATCCATTATCCCCTGCTGAGCTAAATACTGCCGGCCATGCTGACTGTGAGCCAGACTGGTCACCATCTCTACTGCTGTGGCTCTGGTGAAATAAATAGACAAGAGAGGATGGGAAAGCATGAAAGGATGTCACACAAGTAATTTATCGATGATAAAAACAGTGGTACCTAATCAAAACATCATCCCCCGTCAGTTCTCCGAGCAGCTGGGAGATGAGGCCACTGCTGGCACAGTAACCGAGAGAAATGGGAGAAGCAGATGAGATTTCTACCAGCAGCTGGAAATGGAAAGAAAACAATCAAGTCTTTTTATTTGTTCCCACAGATTTGTCTCAGAAAATGCAGAGGAGCCATGATTGACAGTACTGGTTCCATGGAAGGGAATACAGTGGGGCAAAAAAGTATTTAGTCAGCCACCGATTGTGCAAGTTCTCCCACTTAAAATGATGACAGAGGTCAGTAATTTACATCATAGGTACACTTCAACTGTGAGAGACAGAATGTGAAAAAAAAAATCCATGAATTCACATGGCAGGATTTTTAAAGAATTTATTTGTAAATCAGGGTGGAAAATAAGTATTTGGTCAATAACAAAAATTCAACTCAATACTTTGTAACATAACCTTTGTTGGCAATAACAGAGGTCAAACGATTACTATAGGTCTTTACCAGGTTTGCACACACAGTAGCTGGTATTTTGGCCCATTCCTCCATGCAGATCTTCTCGAGAGCAGTGATGTTTTGGGGCTGTCGCCGAGCAACACGGACTTTCAACTCCCTTCACAGATTTTCTATGGGGTTGAGGTCTGGAGACTGGCTAGGCCACTCCAGGACTTTCAAATGCTTCTTACGGAGCCACTTCTTTGTTGCCCGGGCGGTGTGATGGGATCATTGTCGTTTTGGAAGACCCAGCCACGTTTCATCTTCAAAGCTCTCACTGATAGAAGGAGGTTTTGGCTCAGAATCTCACGATACATGGCCCCATTCATTCTGTCCTTAACACGGATCAGTCGTCCTGTCCCCTTAGCAGAAAAACAGCCCCAAAGCATGATGTTTCCACCCCATGCTTCACAGTAGGTATGGTGTTCTTGGGATGCAACTCAGTATTCTTCTTCCTCCAAACACGATGAGTTGAGTTTATACCAAAAAGTTCTACTTTGGTTTCATCTGACCACATGACATTCTCCCAATCCTCTGCTGTATCATCATGTGCTCTCTGGCAAACTTCAGATGGGCCTGGATATGCACTGGCTTCAGCAGCGGAACACGTCTGGCACTGCAGGATTTGATTCCCTGCCGTTGTAGTGTGTTACTGATGGTGACCTTTGTTACTGTGGTCCCAGCTCTCGGCACGTCATTCACCAGGTCCCCCCGTGTGGTTCTGGGATTCTTGCTCACCGTTCTCATGATCATTTTGACCCCACAGGATGAGATCTTGCGTGGAGCCCCAGATCGAGGGAGATTATCAGTGGTCTTGTATGTCTTCCATTTTCTGATAATTGCTCCCACAGTTGATTTTTTCACACCAAGCTGCTTGCCTATTGTAGATTCACTCTTCCCAGTCTGGTGCAGGTCTACAATTCTTTTCCTGGTGTCGTTCGAAAGCTCTTTGGTCTTGGCCATAGTGGAGTTTGGAGTCTGACTGTTTGAGGCTGTGGACAGGTGTCTTTTATACAGATAATGAGTTCAAACAGGTGCCATTAATACAGGTAACGAGTGGAGGACAGAAAAGCTTCTTAAAGAAGACGTTACAGGTCTGTGAGAGCCAGAGATTTTCCTTGTTTGAAGTGACCAAATACTTATTTTCCACCCTGATTTAAAAATAAATTCTTTAAAAATCCTGCCATGTGAATTCATGTTTTTTTTTTCACATTCTGTCTTTCACAGTTGAAGTGTACCTATGATGTAAATTACTGACCTCTGTCATAATTTTAAGTGGGAGAACTTGCACAATCGGTGGCTGACTAAATACTTTTTTGCCCCACTGTACATTACAACAATTATCTGATTACACAAAAACAAATACAGAAAAATGCTTTTTCAGATGTAGAAATGGAGAATTTATTAATTCCATACCTCATATACTCTATATCGGATGATGTCACTTGTGGCCATCACATCCTTCAAAACATCCAGGAGGTCACTATGGAATAACTTGTCTAACCCAGGCTTGGAATGACTAATTTTAGACAGCGACTCAATGGCCTAGAGGAGGAAAAAAAGTGAGATGCAGATTTCTGAAGAGATTTACTGTCCTGTTAGGGATTTGATAATCACCCGTTTAGCCACTGCCATCTTCTCCTCTCTAATGCATAAGATCATCCCTTGTAAGAGTTCATGATTGTTGAGGATTTCGGTGGAAGCGTCCGGATGTTCCACCACTCTGCCAATCTAACAGGAAGTAACAGAAACATTAGGGTTATCTGATATCTTCCTGGCTGTTTTCTGCTCCACGTATGGACAGATGCTCTACCTGTGTCAAAGCTAGTATCTTAACAGTCTCATTAGGATGTTTCAACCCGCTCTGCAGCTCAGCTCTGTAGTTCTGGACCACATGGACAGGACTGAGGGCCAACAGGATGCGTTCAAGGATGTCCACACACAACTCAACCTGCTCCCTGTGAGCAAAACCGCATTAGTTCTCCTACCGTGTTACAGCTGCAGCTGATAACCAAGTTTAGCATACAAGCATTATTAAGATGTATGCTCTCACTTGTGCTTCAAGACTAATTAAGTGACTGTTTACGTGACGCTAAACTCTTGGTAGCATTGTAAGCAAATTAGCTTGTTCCAACCAAAATCTAATAAAACATTTTTTGCATAACATTTTATTGTTATGCAGATTCTTTGTTTAAATGGCCAAATGTTGGCGACAAAACCACCCCACGCTCTCTGACTCAGCAGTTATCACGCAGCAGTTTGATAACAATGTAAACAAGATGAGTTAGCCAAATCTACCTCTCATTAGTGTCGAGCAAAGAGAAAATTAAATCGAAACGCTGTCCGCTCACTGCGTCTCTCAGAGCGCTGACTGGAATCGACAACAGAGCAGTTTTTAGGCTTTGAAGCTCTTCGACTGGGTCTTCAACGCCGGAGATTTCCTCCAGCAAGCTCTGAATGGTAGCTGCCATGACTGTTTCTGGAAACGACTCTGTCTTGTTCTTGCATTATTTCCGTCTTATCAAGCGGGGCATTTCCAATGCCGCCACCTACTGGATAGAGCGGGAATAGCACCCTGATACAAGAGCCTAGGTTACATTAATATTACATTTATTTATTTACTTACTTATTTAATAAATTGAAATCCTTTTGTGTGACGTAAATAGGCATTGACCCTCTGAGACCCCGTATTGTTTCATCTTAGAACTGATCTAATAATTCAGATGAACTTACTTAGATTTTTTATTCTTTTTTTTTGACATTGTTTCTCTGAAAGAAATGTAAGAATTTTTCATTTTTTATGTATAAGGATTTTCTAAAAATAATGTTTAAGTTGTTTATTTTTTTCTATTTCTATTTCAGTAGGCCTCACTATTCCCAACCATCAAGAACAGCAGGACTCAAGAGGTAAAAAAGTAAAAAAAAAAAAAAAAAAAATTCAGCTCAAAAATAACAACACACAAAACAACCAACACTAAATGATCGATAAAATAAATTACATAAAAACACTTATAATGACCTCATGCAATAAACCACAAAATAATTAAAATTGACTTAACATTGACAAAAAGGTTTCAACAAAGATCTAAACCAGTCTCCCTTTTCTCTTTTTTATTTTTATTTTCCCCCCGTGTCCTGTCTGGCTGTGAAGCAAACAGAATTGATGTCTGAATGCTGGTGACAAGCCTTACAGATTTACTCTCAGGTGGAGCATCAAAGCATCTGCTTTTAATGTCACGCCTGACACTTAAAACTTTATTGTTATTGTTTTTGAATGTTTTGTAAATCCGACCAGAGACAGAGGTGAAAGAGAAAGCAAAAGACAAAGGGTGGGGGAGGGAGGAGGGGGGAGGGGGGGGGGTGTCCACAAAAATAAACAATAATGAACAAGAGTCTGCTTCTAGACCAGCAGAAAGAGAAAGAAGAGAAAAAATGGGACACACAACAATACAACAGGAGCAAGTTATCACTTTGTCAACTTTAAGAAATATACAATCAGCATTGTTTAACTGAACAATCACATGATAATAAATCATAGTGCATTTAGTGGCAACGACAGCCTTAAGACATGTGTTGAACGTGCCCAAGCCCATACTTTTGAGAGCACCATGTGAGCACCTGTGTGTGTACACATGCTTGTATATGTAAGGTTTCTCTATGGGAGCGTCCAACAGAGAGTGTGAGGGACCACAGATCCGTCCCCCAAAGATGTGTAGGAGACAGGGGGAGCTCCAAGTCCAAGAGATCCAGGTGCTGCCCCAGAACACAGGAACCCCAAGGAGACTGCAAACAGAAAGGCCCCCACCCCCCTCGAGAGGCACAGAGGATCGCCCCGGGGGGCCACAACCAGCAGCCGGCAGAGTCCCGGGAGATATCAGCGGCAAGCCCACAGGCCCGCCCGCAGCCTCCCACGCCCTAGCCGGCCGAGCCCGGGACACAGGGGTGACCACCCCCGCTGGGGACCCAGCAGAGTCCAGGGACCCAGACCCCACCAGACAGCCACCGGGATTGATCAGGCAGACGCCAAAAATCTTAAACCCCCTGACCCGGGAGCCACGAACACTCAGAACAGACCAAGGCACCACACTCCACACCAGGTGTGGCAGAGGGAGGGGAGACGAAGATCTATATCATCAAAAGAAGTCCCAGGAGAGGGGAGGAGTCAAAGGCCCCACCTGACATATACAGTCATACACAAACACAGTCACACACTCCCTCCCTCATGCTCACACATACACATACAACCAAAGACTTACAAAAATGCACGCCGGACGCCCACTCATGCTCCCCATACACACCCTATTCACTCTGGTCGCGGTACTGCTGCACAAGGGGTACAACCATTACCGGTTACCAGAGTTTGACTCTTTCTGCTGGGGTGCTGATGAGCAGGCTCCCCCCGCCCAACGCTGAGCACAGCAACCCACCACCCCAGACCCAAGCCAGAGGGTCGGATCTCCTCCTAGCCTCCAGCCCCAGGAAGCCAAGTGACAACAGAGGTGTGCTAAGGCCCCTAGTCTCCCTCCGCCTGCTCCAATATAGTCTCCCTTTTCTCAACAAAGATGCTGATCAACACATCACCATTCATCCCAGCTTGGTCCAATAAAGCATTTGACTGGTAAAGGCACTAAATGTATGAAATGCATATACAGTAAAGGATTAACCTGTTGAATCTGTGCTACATTTCCATGGAAATAAGTAAACATTTTTCTAGCTAGTTTCCTTTGCTCTAATTTGTCCAAATCTTAAATTTTGAAGTTTTATACATTACAACATTCCATCTAAACAATTAGGCTGACTGATGACTCACATGCATGCTTGCTCCTCACTTTTTATCTGAATTAATCTACAACCCAGTGGATGTGTTTCCTGGTTTAGCACAAGGTCAAAAACAAGACTATCCCAACCTTTGCGATCGACTTGCAAGACGTCCGCTGTATCCATGAGTGTTTATGGCAACTGTGGAGGTCACGTGCTTCCGGCTACTGTGGAGGTCACGTGTATCCGGTTACTGTGGAGCTCCACTGTGGCCGCAGCCAGATGCTCTTGGAGATCCACAGTGGCTGCAGCCAGACCAGATCCTTCTCAAGGAACGACCAGAGGCTGATAAAAAAAAACAACAACAACAAAAAAAAAAGAACGACCGGAACGACGCAGCTCCACGTACCACGTGACTCCCGCGTAAGCTCATTTACATATTAGGAGATGAGCGTTGTCTATTGCTTATGACGTCTGACGTCATAAAGGCGCAGAACCTATAGACCTAAGAGCTGAGAGCACATCGTTCATAGGCACTTTGTCTAGAAGAGAGAAGCTTGTTTTTTGACTCCCACAAGAAGTTTTAAAATGGCAAAATCCACACAGGAATGTTTAGATAATTCTACTTTCAGAATTAAGGAAGGTATTTCTGTTGCAAGTAAATTCAATGCTTACCAAATCCAAAAAGTATCACATTACAGGAAGTTTAGTCAGATTGCTGAGTGCCGAAATGAGAGAACAGGGGAAATTTTGGCTATAAAATTTGTCAAAAAGAAGTTTCATTCTCAAAATAGAGAGGTGAGGATATTGAAACAACTTAAGAGTTTAAATCTCCACGAATGCTACGTTGTCAACTTTTCTGAGTGTTTTTCATACCAAGACAGGACCTGCTTTGCCTATGAGAAGCTGGATTCAAACTTTCTGGAATTAGTTTTAGCAGCAAATGGGAAACCTGTTCACCTTACTGAGATCAGAGCAATTGCATTTCAAATGTTAGTTGCTTTAGGAGCTCTGAACTACGCTGGAATCACTCACGCTAATATAAAGCCAGAAAATATAATGACTATGGATGGACTTTCACACCAGTATGGTGTCAAATTGATTGGTTTTTCCAACTCTGCAAAGACATCTGACTTATGTGACTTAAAGATCGCATTAGATTGTGGTTACACCGCACCAGAGGTGTTCCTGGACTGTCCACTAGATGAAAGCCTTGATATCTGGAGCCTTGGATGTACGTTAGCTTTTCTGTTCTTAGGGCAACACATGAGCCCTGTGGACTGTGAAAATCAGTACATGAGGTTTATCGTAGATGTCTTGGGCCAGCCGGGAAATGAACTACTGGAAAAAGGATGTCAAAGTCGTCGGTTTTTTAAACAAGTGAAGCAGGGGTCTGGTTACGTTTGGAGACTCTGGACCCCAAAGGAATTTGAAGAAATAACCGGAAGTGAGGTTAAGAAAACAGATTGCAATAATTTAACTGATTTAAATGACTTTCTGTCTAAATCCAACCAACCTGAGCCAATAGATTATGATGACACAAAGGCTTTTATCGACCTTCTCAGGAAGATGTTAAACGTGGACCCAGCACTTAGGATCAAACCAGTGGATGCTTTAAAACACCCATTTATAACAATGAAGCATCTACGTTATATCTCAGATGAATTTTATTTAACAGAATCCCAAAGGATTATGAAGGAATGCCAATTCAGCGAAGAAGAAAACACTTATAGTTCTCTTTCCACCCCTAGCAGCAACAGAGAACAGACCCCAGACCTGGATTTTAGTAAGAAGGGAAAGAGAAATTCCTCACATTTAGTTCAGACCAAAACCAGAACAGGAACCAGTAGCACTGAAACAAAAGCTGAATCGAAAAACACGCCACACTCTGACCCCAGGACGAGTTCACCTAATGGTGTGAATTTCCATGAGTTGTTTAGCAGTGAAACTTTTGAAGAAGATAGTTCAGAGGATTCAAAGCTGGACCGGTCTATCAGATGGGAAACGGATTCCTCAGACACAAACGAAGGGTCATCCTCAACTGACTCAGATAGCACCCCTTCAATATTAATGCCAGGTATGGTAGTTACGGGGAATTCAAAGATTTACGATGTAAAGGAAGTTCTTGTTTCTGGGACGTTTGGAGAGGTGGCCAGGTGTTGCATAAAGGGGCAAGATAAGGTGGTTGCTTTGAAAGTAATGAGTAGACAGTATGAAAACGAATTTTTAAATGAAGTTCAAACGCTACAACTTCTGAACAAACTGACAAATTTCAAACACTGCTTTATCAAATTGAATGACAGTTTCACCTATCGAGGCTTTTTATATCAGGAATTCGAGCTTTTGGATCAAATTTTGTTCGATTATTTGAAAAAAAGAGGTGACACTTTAAAGGTGGCTGAACTCAGAGTGATTGCCCAGCAGATCCTAGTAGCTCTTAGTGCTTTGAAACAGCTTGGTATTACACACACAGATTTGAAACTTGATAATATCATGCTTGTAAATCATGAAGAACAACCAGTCATAGTGAAGCTGATTGATTTTGGGTTTGCTTGTGAGACTGAAACTTTAAAAGAAAAGGGTATCCTTCACAATTTGGCATACAGAGCTCCAGAGATAACTCTTGGTCTACCACGAGATGAAGCGATAGACACTTGGAGTCTTGGCTGTCTCTTGTCTGCTCTGTTTCTTGATTGTTTTGTGTTCCCAGAAGAAAACAAATATGATAATCTGAGAATAATTATGAAGCTCCTTGGTCAACCTGACAAAAAACAACTGGATGAGGGT